CCCTAGACCTAAAATAGTCACTCTTATAAGTAYTCTTAATGCTCAGATCTTGACTTCTAAAATACCATTTTTCACTAAAAGGGATCAGGGCTCCTGGTATTCCAGGACTGGATCAGGAAAAATGTGGATTGAGCCTGGACCATCTTGTAGTGTCAGAAAATAAGAATGTGTTCAAAAATTTAAGGGGCCATGCAAGGATACAAGAGGAGTTCCAATGACTAACTCTGGAACAATTTTAATAAGGAAAATTATAGCAATAAATTATAACTCATATCCATGAGTCCATGCAGAAATGAATAAACAAACAGAAGGGGCAGCTCTTCCATTTAGAATTCTATTAACAAGTGTAAAAAGATGAAAACCACAATTAGAAATACCATGGTCATAAAGATTTCAAGAAAGGATCATAAATAGATGATAGAACTAGTGGGCAAAATGTGGTGAAAATTAAGATATTTAAATATTCTTAAGGTATTGTGCTATAACATACTTAATCCATTATCAAGGGGAAAGTAGTAACTTCACAGTGAAGAAATCTAGTACTAAAACAAAAATCCTAAAATTCAAATTGAAGCAAAAAAGATTCTGAATAGTCAAAATAATCCTGAGCAAAAAGAATAATGCTGGAATTATCACAACACCTAATTTCAAAATATACCTCAGAGCCAGAATAATAACAAAATAACAGTATGGTACTGCCCATAAAAACACAAAACTCAACTAAAAGTGGATCAAAGAGCTAGGTATTAGCTCAGACCCTGCAAATACTAGAAGAAGAAGAAAAAACAAACAAACAAACAAACTGTAGACTCAACACTCCAACATGTCAGCTCAGGAACTTTAACAAGAATCCTAAAGTGCAAGAGGTAAAACCAAAAATCAATAAGTGAAATGGCATCAAATTAAAAAGCTTGTGCACAGCAAAGGAAACAATTAAGACTATGAAGATATACAAGTGCCACTAGCGCATGCCTATAATTCCAGTGGCTTAGGAGGCTGAGACAGGAAGATCGTGAGTTCAAAGCCAGCTTCAGCAAAAGCGAGGCACTAAGCAACTCAGTGAGACACTATCTCTAAATAAAATACAAAACAGGGTTGGGGATGTGGCTCAATAGTCAAG